AAAAAAAAAAACAATCTTCACAACTACATCAATAGGTAACATGCAGAGGAAAAAAAAACATTTGAAGTCAAGGATTTAGTCAGAACATTTTTTAAAATGTTGAAGTCTATAGTTGTATCTTTAATAGCAGTTTTTAGTAGCATCCTTACTGTACATTTTTTAAAGTTTCTAACCAGACAGTGCCCAGCTATCAGAAAGAATAACACCTGGAGTCTTATGGGCTTGTCTTCAAACAAGCAGCCGTCTAAGTGAAGTGTCAACTAAGGCTACACTGGAAGGTCTTCAGTGTATGTGATCCAAGGATTATAAGTAATATAATCAAACCGTGAAGGAGGGAATGGTATCAGGGCTGAAATTTTGAACACCTGATGGCTGTGGAAGCCCACAATTCATTTGCAGGGTCTTCATATGGATTAAGTCTCCAATGAATTCCTTCTGAACAAAGTACAGGGATGTGAATAGCCCTGCTATCACAGAGGACATTGTAGAGTCCATCACAGCAGATGTAGTTAGGCTTGAATGTAGCACTTTATTATTTTATCTCCTTTTTTAGCCATTTAAAAATTGTTTGTTTTTAATAGTTTTTGCTTTCACTTGAGATTTTTGTTTTGTCTAGTTATTGTTGTTTTTTGTTTGCTTCCTGCTTGTGATTTGTAAGATTTTTCTGTATATGAAATCCAAGATAGGTAAATCTATAGAGACAGTAACTGGATTAATAAGTACCTAGGGATAAGGCAGGAGAGGATGGGGGGAAATGGGGACGAGAAGAAAGTGTTCTGAAATTGAGCGTGGTGATGATCTCCAACTCAGTATGATTGAACAAGTAAATTGTATGACACATGGAGTAGATGCCAATAAAAACATTTTTAAAAAGCCCACAAAACAACATTTCAGGTTAATAAAAAATGAAAAGTTTTCTTAAAAGCTTGAAGGTAAACAAGCGGCCATCTAGCTCAGAAGCAACAAAGCCCACATGGAACAACATATCAACCTGTGTGATCACGGGGTGT